AAATGCTGTCTTTCATTACAATCCCTGAGGATGCCTGTAAAAACAATTTCTAATATGTTTGTGATAGTTCAAACTTAATTATCAGATAGAAATATTTGGTGCAGTCACATCTTGGGATCTGATTTCTACTGGGGTAGAAGATTTAATTTAATTTTCATTGAAAATTCCTCAAAATGGGAGTTGCCATCAACATTTATAAAATATTTGTGTCTGTAAAAAAAAACAGGGGATAGCTTAAACTTGACAAAGTGGTGCACTAGAATAAATTTGAGGTATCTCGAGGAGGAAAATTATGTCTGTGAATTTTGTAAAAACATTCAGGGTTTTCAATTAATGTAATATAAAGCTAAAAAAAAACCATGTCAAAACAAGTTCTTGTTAGAAAATGCAGTGGTTACACATATGAGTGTATTATTTAAAGCACCCTTTTGGAATTTTTGTGTGCATTTTAGGGACATTTTTGAAGTGTGGTCAAATATGGGCACTCACAGATTAATTGGTATCGGGTCAGGCCCTGGCTGCTGATAAATAAATAACTTTCACTTTGTAGTGAATTGCAGATTATCTACAAGTAATTYATATTTCTGACATGTGGGAAATGTTTTGCACACCTCCATTTTTTGCATGGGAATAGTACCCTTCATTCAACATTACATTAACAGTTTGATTAAGCCTGGCATTTAAAAATTTTTATGGTTAAAGACATGGTTGATATTTGCAATAAGTGAATGAAAAGAAACTGCATTTTCTGAATTGTTTAAAAGCATGAGTCCYAGCTCTTATTTTTCCCTTTAAATAKTCACTTTTGAACGGAAACAGAGCAGAAATAAATAATGTTCTGGCAAGAAACAAAACTTCTGCGCTAGAATAATGTAAAATGTTTATATTTGCAATATATATATGTATTTATARGATTGTAACAAGAAGCCAAGGTTTTTTACTCTCACATCAGCACAGTAGTATTTAATTATGGAAATTATCTTACAATTTGTCTATTGTATAATAAATATTTTGGTACAAATGGGATAGCCACATAAAGAAGAATATAAAGAAGAATAAAAGACATGTTTAAAACAAAAATGCTCTTGTGGCTGTCATGGCCCAAAGAAGCCCCTCACTTGTTTTGGGGCCACAGAAAAGCTTTTTCTGCACTTCAGCCATGGATACAAMCACTGTATTTAAACTGATTTTTGTAAATTGATGGTGAGCATCCCACACACAGGTACATGTGCATGCAGAGAAACTCAGTTTTGGGGTAAAACACCATTTTTTTTGTGCTGTTCCCAGAGGGCTGTCACAGGATTCCTCCGAATTTTGCATTCTGTAAAGTACTCTTAGTTAATTTGTGTGAATGCTGGTGAAGAGCCACACAGCCTTGCTCCTCTCTGTTTTCTGAGGTTTTTGATTATTTTATTCATTTTCTGCACTTTCTGAGGAGATGGACTGCCATCTATTGACTCCTCACAGCCCTGCACGGCGAGCAGGAACTCAAACAATGACAAAAAAAAAAACAAATCCCTTCTGTTCCGGGGATGCTGGTGACAAATTTGAGCACATGGAGAATTATTTGTTGTGTGGGCACAAACATCTTATTCCAACCCAAACTGACTGCCAGCGCGAGGAATCTTATAAAGAAATAGCAAAAAGGATTATAAGTGGAATATTTTATTTTGCCTTTTGATGGAGAAAAAGATTATCATATGGCATTCAATGAGGCTTAAATCTGTGGCCTGTGTGACAATCAAAGCTTTCTAAGTGGCTGAAAGTGGTTTCTTTAAACTTGTTCTTTCAAGTTCTCTTAACTATAATTATTCTGAAAAAGAAAGCAATCAAAGTCAGCAGAAAAAAATCCAACTCCCACTGTGGTTTAAAATAATATTTAATAACCTCTTTAAGATGGTGATTTAAAACTTTCACACATCATTTTGGTCGTGACTGCTCTCTRTATTTCTCCTGTGCTGGAGAAGGGAAATTATATTTGTCAAAATATATTTCAGGTTTTTATTCATGTAGGTATGTGTTTGCAGTAAATTGGTTGGTTTTCATACCCACTAATGTGTATCAAAGGGGTTATTGTCAATCAAAGAACAGGACAAGGACAGATTTTTATGGCATTATTTTTTTCTTTGACAGATTCAGGATAAACAGTTTTGATCACAGCTTGCTGGGGTGTCAGTGATGATTCGTGTGATTTTTTTTTTTTAGGCATAAGGAATTTGGGGGCTTGGTGAGCTCTTTGTTCTGGATTAGGAGGAGGTTCAGTTTACAACTCTGACTTTTTGAATGCCAGAGAAACACATCCTGTGCTGCACAAGCCATGCCAYCACATCCCTCCCCACCCTGAGCATTCAGGGGTTTGCACAGCAGTGATTTTCACCCTCAGAGCACTTTGCTCTTTCTCTCATCACTCAGATTTGAGCTRTAAATGCAGCAATATTTGTTATGTRTTTTGAATGAAGGCCAGGTTGTMRCCCTCTAACAAACAAAAAARATAAACCCTAAACAACRCTAAAAAWATCMGTGGRAAAAWTTGTGATAAGGCACCCAAGGRTTTTCTTTTGTTCATTACAGTTTTGTAGTTTATTCTTAAAAAATACAGAATTTCCCCTGCACTTTGACCTTCCATCCTCAGCGGGTCCAGGCTCTGGAGGGACAGAGCTGGTGTCCACTGCCACCCCAAAGTGACCACTGCCCAGGGGTCAGCCCTGTGGGCTCTGAGTGACCACATCTGTCCGGCCAGCTGCAGATGMCATCACCAGAGAAAAAAGAGCAATTTATTTATTTTTGAGCACAGAGTGACCCTGTTTTGGTGCGAGAGTGAAGCTGCCACGAGTGCCCGCGGTGTAGCCCGGAGTTTGGTGGCACTGCCGGTGACAAGGTGGGGATGGAGAAGGTGCTGGTGGCACTTTGGCCACAGCTGTGGTCACCACACCTGCACTGTGTCACCTGTGCCATGCAGGAGCAGAGGTGGTCAGTCCAGCCCAGGATCAGGGTGAGGGTACCACAGCCCAGCAGGAATGAACTTCACAAGTATTAAAATCTCCGTCAGTAAATACCAATTGAGTAAAGAGATTCTGTAAAGAAATGGAGTAAAGAAATTTGCCCTAAAACGGGCAAAGCAAGTTTTTTTATWTTTATTTTTATTTTTGAAGCATTTCTTCGTGTCGATATGTGTGTTGGGATCACACACTCACTGGGATCAGGTGTTTTCTCTCTGTAGGCATTGCTCATTTTTCTCATTTTTAATAAWTCCTTGCTGTCCTGGTGCCGCTCCAGCCGTCCCCACCGAGCCCGTCCCCGTGCCCTTCCCTCGCCAGATCATCTCTGTGAAATCTCCCAGGCCAAGGTGACCACCAGCAGAGTTTTAGAACCATCAGAATTTTTAATTAGCAGAAGCTATCATTTTAACACACTTTTTGACAGTTTGTTAATCTTGCTTTTAATCCGAAGGTGAGCCAGGAGCTGACTGGTTTGGCCCTGTGCGTGAAGGACACGAAGGGACAATGCGTCTTTTGTGTTTAAATTTTGTGCTCACATTTCTTTGTGTGCATTATTAAAATTCCTCCTTATTAAAAAATACTTTTTTTTTTCTGAAGTGAAAATGTAAGCCATATCCCTGAAAGTCAATTTCTAGCCATTACAAATGTGACTTCCAGAAAGGGAAAATTAAAAATAACGCAACCCTGGCAAAAAAAAAAAAAAATTTAACCTGGAGAAAGAGAGAGGGTGTTTGGTTTAGGAGAGGATTTTTTAGGTGAGGGAAGGGATGGGTTTAGGTGTGKTTTTGGGAGGAGGTTAAGCCCGGGTTCTTC